ATCGCTCCCCGCACCCACCCCGTTCCACCCTCCGGACACCCCCATCGCTCCCCGCACCCACCCCGTTCCACCCTCCGGACACCCCCATCGCTCCCCGCACCCACCCCGTTCCACCCTCCGGACACCCCGCCCTTCGCCCTCCAGTCCGGGCTGCGCTCCCGCATCCACCGCTCCCGTCCCCCGCCCTCTCTCCCCGGGGCATCCTGCCCGCCCTCCTCCAGGATATCTCCCTGCATCCTCAATCCCCGGGCATCCCTCCCTCCCCCGTCCCCTTTCCTCGACGCATTCCTCTCCCTCATCCCTTTCTCAGTCCCAATCCGCCTCCTGGCCCCACCGACCCTCCCTCCCGGCACTCGGCAGGCAGCCCCCCGACCTCGACCCCCCGCCTCCCCCCGCCAGCAGCACCATCTCCCCCGCAGTTCCCACAAGCGCTTTCCCAGCCGAGAGCCCCGGAGCCACACTTTTCCTCCCCCACCCCAAAGCCGAGCGTCACCCCCAGACACTGCCCGGCCGGATCATCCCACCCCTGGCCGCTCGGACTGCCCCTGCAGCAGCCCCAGCCCCCAGCACCAGCTCCCACCGCCCCCAGCAGAGCCCTCCACGCTGGTTCAGCTCCGTGTTGGGGGCAGGAGCCCCCGAATTTATTCAAAAGCAAAAAAACTGAACCCAAGTGTTCCTGTCCCATTCTGTCACCCGCGGCCGGTATTGGAGTGAGCCCCCGCTCCACCCCACACGCCCTGTGTTGTGCTGGGTCAGGCAGTTCTTCAGTCGGGCTGGCTTTGATAAGAGCAGATTAAAAATAATCATAACAATAACGAGATCCTTCACCTCGCTGGGGGCCACCTCACGGCGCCTGCTCCCAGCTGAAAGTGAGAGTTTTAGCTTCCACTCCTGAGGAATCAGCCGTGTTTATGCATCGATCGATGTCACCCCCCCTTCCCCGCACATCCCGGGGGATGCCGGCGGTGCCTGTCCCACTGCAGGAGCCCTCAGCAGGGAGGCAGCAGGAGCACGGGATGCTGGACCCTCTGGAGCCCCCGTGGGTGCGGAGAAACCCGGTGTCAGAGCCCCACGTGCTGGCCCGCCTGCGTGGGGTGGGGTTTGGGGGGAGCCGGAGCCCCCCTCCCCGGGCTGCGGGCGGGAGCAGCTCGACAGCGCTGCCGGAGCAGGTGAAGGAGAGGGGGAGCACCCACCTTTCCACCAGTTTTCCTACTTGCTCCATCTCACATATAGCAAATTCTGAGCACACAATGCAGTTATTGAATAAAATTATGCTTTTTTTAGTACTTGTATGCATGTGGTTTTTAAGGCTCTGCCTAGAAACCAACCTCTGAGCCAGGAGCAGAGAGACTGGAGGGGAAAGCCAGGCCAGCCCTGGACGGTTGTGGGACAGAGAGATGCAAGCACAGCACTGSCGACCATAGCAGCTGGCAGGTGACACATCCATCCCGTGCAGGTGACGCGTCCATCACTCCTTCCGCTCCAGGAAGGAGGAGAAAGCACTCCTGGCAGGGGCAGGGATCATTAGGGAGTGTGGCCACCGCAGCCAGCCCGGGGCTGCCTCGCCTCTCCTCTCCGTGTCACTGTCTCCGTCCCCCGTGGCACCGGCTCTGTCCCCTCCCGCAGAGCTCTGCCTGTGCCCGCAAGGACGAGTCCTGCCTCCCCTCCGCCATCTCGCTCTCCCTCCAGGCAGCGGAGCCGAGGCGCTGCCAGCTCCATCTGCACAGTGCAGCGAGCACCGGGCCAAGGGGCAGGACCCACAATCACATTTCCTTGGAGCACATTGTGCTCCCGCCTTGCCGAGGRTGTTGGAAATGGGTGGCTGCAATAATGGCGCTGTGAATAACCGCAGCTCACTCACTGTGGCCTCCAAGCTCACTGCCTGCTCCAGCTCCTGCCTCATCCCCTCACAAGGCTGTTCCCTGCCATGATGTGCCCTGTTTTCCAACCTGCCTCACAACCTCCTGCCTTGGGCCAGGTGTCTGCCGTCCCCACACCCACCCACCCTCTCCCCTCAAGGTTTCCCCTATTGCAGCTGGTTTGGCTTTGACCTGTGTTCCCCTCCCAGCAGGASCCCCATGGACTGGGGACACAAACACCCCAAAGAGGGGCTCTGCTGCCGTGTGACAGGCAGCGCTGCCCCRACAGTGCAGCACAAAGGGCTCATGGAGCTTTTATTGCTGCTTCTCCTGAGCGGTTCCCCCAGACCTGCCTAGAGCAGAGCCTGTCCTTGGAGCAGAGCCTGTCCACAAACAGCCTCCCCAGGGCCCTCCCCAGGGCTGGGGCACAGCTCCCCACTCCCGWGGCAGCCCGGCCGCAGGGCAGCAGGTTCTCCTCTGCCACCAAACCTGGCTGTGGCTGTGCTGGTGCCATCTGTTCGTCAGGCACAGTCCYGTGTCACGCTGTGCTGTGGGAGCCATGCCAAAGCTCCAGGACCCTGCTGGAGCACCCGCGCTGGAACCGGGCTCTGAGTGCCGCGACCGATGCGATTTGCAGMCCCGGTGAAAAGATGAGGGCACAGATGCCAGCGGCGTTCCCCAGCTCTGGAGATGAGCCCTGTCGGGTGGGGCTGCGGGTGCTGGGGCTGTGGGGGCAGTTTGGGGGCCGTGCCAAGGCTCAGGTGGGGGGCAACTCGCCAGACCAGCCCCCAGCTGGGGAGATGGGTACCCTGTGGGCTCCCAACAAGGACACAGTAGTCGCAGGGCAGGAGTGGCACTGGGAAGCCTCGGGCTGGGCTCTGTCCCGCTCGGCTTGCTCGAGACTGAAAGGATTTGTCAACAGGGAGCTGATGAGTCCCGCGGGCAGCCAGCTCGCCCTCCTCCCAGCACCCCGTGTCCAGAAGGTGGGCTCCTGAYGGCACACGGCCGTGGCAGGCACCCAGAGCAGGCTGTCCCCGAGTGCGCACTGCACCAGAGGGTCTGAACCCACTGTCCCACCCCCAGTATGGGGGCCCTGACCCCACCGCCCGTACAGCACAGCGGCTCTGGCATCTCTGACCCTCTGAGGTGCTTCTGCGGGATGCTCAGTGTGACCCGGGCAGTGCTTGGCACACAGAGCAGCCGCACGCGGCGGAGAAGGGAATATGCTTTCACCAGGAGAACAAGAAGAGCCTCTGATGGCTGCCATGTCCCTTGTAAACACCAACTTTGAGAGCATCAAATTACAGCCGCTGCCTCGGCTCCAAACAAGATGGTAATCGGGAGCACGGAGGCACCCTGCCTGCATCCTGCCTGCGCAGCGGGGAGCACAGGGAGCCTGGTGGCACCATAGAGGCCATGACACCCTCTCCTGCACTGCAGGATTGCCGAGGCTCACTTCGCCCCAGCCCCACACAGCGCAGCGACCCAGCGCGCCCCGAGCGAACGGGAGCTCCCCGCCCCCGGCCCTGGCGGAACTGCTGCTCGCTTGTCCCCGGGAGCGGGCGCAGGGTCCCCGTGGCAGGGGACCGCGGTTCGGTGCAGCCCTGTTGGGGCACACCGCTGCCCGTCCCCCGCAGCCGTGCGGCGGGGATGGTTTCCCCCAAGGACTGAGTGAACCGATCCCCATCGTCCCGGCCCCGCTGTGCTGCCGCCGCCCTCGCTCCCGGCGTCCCGGCTCGGGAGATGCTCGGTCCCAACGGCCGCTCCCCGCAGCAAGGCCGGTGTCCGGACTGCAGCCGCCGCCCCAAGGAGAGCTCGGGGAGGGCACAGCCGGGCAGGGCCAGTCCCGGGGCCGCAGCTGGCGGGATTGGAGGCAGCTGCCCGCAGCGCGGGCCCCCCCTCCYCGCTGCCCGCGGCCCCCCTTCCTCGGGCAGGAGCCGCTCCGGCCGCTCCCCGCTGAGCGGTCCGGGCTGCGGGGAGGGAGCAGCCCCCGCTCCCTTCTCCTCGGCCCCGGCTGCGGGCAGGACCGAGCGGTTCCTGCCGCCGCCGCCTCGGCGGTCCCGCACAGCGCGGGGATACCGGGACCGGCCGCTCCCCGCAGCGGGGCTCTGCCGCTCCCCCCGCCGCGGGAGCTCCACGCTCGGCCGGGCCGGGGTGCGCTGTGCCGGCGGGGACAAGCGGGACCGCGGCTGCGCCCACGCTGCGGCAGCTGGCGGGGGGCGGCGGGATCAGCTGCGGCCGGGGATCAGCTGTACCCCGCGCCGCCCCGCCGGGCCCCCCCGCTCCCTGGGGAGCAGCCCCGACCCCCCCCCGCACCGCCCGCCCTGCCCGCCCTACCTGCCCGCCGCCCTCCCGGCCCTCCCCGGGGCGGCTGGCGGCCGCCCAGCCCGGAGCTGCCCTGCTCCCTCCTCCTCCTCCTCTCCTACTTCTCCTCCTCCCGCGGGCACAGCCCTGTCTAATCCCACGGGTGTCAAATCCACGCTGCGGCTTTGGCCGTGGCGGGGCCGGAGCGGATCCGATGGGGCCGGTGGGGAGGACGAGGGAGGAAGGCGCGGGATGCTCCGGCGGGGGCACCCGGCCGAGCCCCCCCTCCCGCACACCGCAGCCATGGCAACGGCGAAGGGCTGTCCCAGCCCGGCCGCAGCGCAGTGAAGGCGAGAGGGACGCAGGGAGGGAAGGAGCCGCTGGGCGATTCCTGAGGGGCTGGCACACACACAGCCGCTGGAAGCGACCGGAGCCAATCCCCCGGCTCCCTTTGTGATGCTTCCTGACACAGATTCCCTCTCCATGGCTGACTTTGCAAGTTTCCCCATCCTCTTCCCCTCCTCGCGCGGTTCCTTTTCATGCGACTAAATTATACACGAGAGGAGGGACATGCTGGAAATTCTAGTGACAAAATAGAAATGAGCAGATTTGCGCAGGCGGCTGCAGCCCGGCCGCCTCCGGGACTCCTGCGAGCCAAGAGGGACCGGACCTAGTCCCAGGGCAGCAGCATTAAAGCCCGTGAATTTCAAAACTACCAAGGAAAATGCTTTTCTTGCGGCAGCAGAGAAGCGCGGGCGTGTRAAGCAGGATCGCGATGGGTGCCGGGACCGCGGCGCCTCCGAGCCCAACCGCTGCTGTCCCAGCACACGGCACCCTCGGGGACAGCAGGCGACGCATTCACTTCCCCGGAGAAATGTCTTGTTTGGGAGCCAGTAAAAAATAYGCAAATCTGGGAAGGCTGGGCCTCAGCCTCTGAGCAGCCTTTCTCCCCTTCCTCCCCATCCCAGAGCTCCATGGGGCGAGCTGAGCCCTGGGCAGCCGAGGGAAGGGAAAGGCGGAGCCGGGGGAGCGGGGGGGCGGCAGGCGAGGCAGTAGGATGAGATTTGGTGTGTCAYGGAGCAGGACGGGGCGATGTGCGCGGGATAGCGGCTCCCCCAGACCGCGGGCATGCGGAGAAGGCTCCTGCTCCCGCAAGCCGGGGTGGGTGGAGCATGCTGTCACTTTTTGGTGCTGGGCAAGCCCGGCATCGCTGTCGCAGGATTGCTGCCTGTGCAATGAGTCAGGAGCAGCGCTGCCACGTTTTCCTCCTACGGGCAGCGTCCCGTGGCGGGTCGGTCGTGCTCCGCACCGGGACGCGCCCGCACACGCGGTGCTGCTTCAGCTCCGACGCCACGTGGGTGGGTGAATCTCCGGCAGCGACTCTCCGGGGAAACCCCTCTGTTGCGAAGGATGAGGACACAGACCTGCAGCTCGGACGAGATGTGGAGCGCCTGGCTCAGGCAGCGATCCCACGGGACACGGGCATATTCCTGTGCCTGCGTCCCACCTCCTCTGCCAGACAATGAAACACTGCCCTCCTTCCCAAGTCGCAGCAGAACAAATAAAGCAAGCGCCATATGGTGCCAAGACACGTTGGAAATGGGGCCAAGCCCAGGAGGTAGGGGAGGTGGCAAGCCTCCATCCCCACACCAGTCCCCATAGCCAGCTCCAAGCCAGGGCTGTCCTTGGGGGAGCCCTGTGCCCGCTCCTCCTCCTTCCCCTTGCAGCCACTGCCCCGCTGCCAGGCACAGCTCTGCATTTCAGCCATGGCTTTGCCTGCAGTCCTGGGGGAGCACAGAAACCAAAGCTGTTCCCGAGAGCACTTTTTCCTCTAAGGCTAGCCCAGAGTCACGGGTGTCACCGCTGGACTGACACTGGGATATTGTCAGGAGATAATGCCCAGCACCCTGCCATGGGACAGGGCACCCTGCTGCCTCTCCCCCAGAATTAYAAACAGGAGTGGGCACCACAGACAGCCTGTCCCCTAAAGCCCCTGCAGCCCAGGGGCTGGAGGAGAAGCTTCCCAGCTGCTCCAGGCCACTACAGACACAGGACCCCATTGCAAGAAAAAAGTGGCACCATCTTTCTGCCTGTCACAGCAATCCTCCCGCCTGGATCCTCCCACAGCCCTGCAGCTCCTGGGTACCCTGTGTGTTTCAGGCGAGTCACATCCAAGCACAGGCAGTGAGGTACCTCCCGGGAGAGTTGGGCACCCTCTGGCAGGGCTTTCAGAGGTGCAGCCTGCTCTGTGGAGAGCCCAGCTCACCCTGGCTGCTCAAGGCCCTACTCAGGACAGCAGATCCCAGAGCTTCTTTGKGGGTAGGGAATGATGAGCTCCTGGGGGAAGAGGGGAGTTCCAGGAGCCCCTCACACTCTAACAGACCTTCTGYATGAGTGGCAAGCAGATGGCAGCCTCGTCTGTGCCTGGGAGCCATGTCACAGAGCTCATGTGGCACCTACCCACCCGCCACCCTCATTCACCCCATTCTCTGTGCAAGGGCCKCCAAAAGGGAAGCACCTGGCTCTGTCCTCCAGGTTGAATCAAAGTGAGGATCTCTTGGAGGTTTTGTAGCCACAGGGCTCAACTCTCTCCCTGCAAATGCAAGCAGATCATTTGCACCTGAGTCACAGAGATGAGAATCAAGTAAGTTGTGCAAGCAAAGGASTTTGTTGAATCATTCACAAAAATGTTGGGATGATAAGGATCAGACAGGACCAGGAGCAGCCCACAGATCTCTCCATCTCTGTGCCATTCTCTTCCTACTTTAAAGAGGCAGCACTGCCTCATGGAGTGTCCCACGACCTGGCTCCATGACTACCTATCTGTGCTTCCATGACCTGGCTCCATCTTCCCTACCCTACCTATGGGGTATCCCCTCGAGGTATAGGGATGGTATCCCCTCGAGGGATGCTCCACACCAATGAGTGCTTTATAGCTGCTCTGAGATCCAAAGTGCTGTGTGAAAATAGTGTTATTTATTGACAGTGTTACAGGTAAGGAGAAAAGTGAGAGGCAGCCTTGTCCTACACAGCGTTCCTGGGTTCCTGCGGAGCGAAAGCGGATGTGGCAGAGGGTCCCAGCTTTGGTGCTGTTTGCTGACCAGTGGCTGTGGAGGTCTGCCCTCATCCTGGTCCCAGCTCCACTTGGGCTTCCTACCCACCACGTGTTGATAAACAGAAAAAAATGTACAATGGCTGCATTGAAGTTCCCAGTTAAACAGAACAGCAGTGGCTGCTCAGAAGAGRAACTTCTGCGTTATCTTTTGCTGTGTTAATTCAGAGGTGGGACTTGCTGAAACAGGGACAATCCACAGGACAAGATCTGGGTTTTTCAGCACCCCCGGGGTGAGATCTCAGGCAGGGATAAATGGCAGCAGGCAGAAGAAGAGCAGCAACCCCAGGAGCAAAGGGGACATGGGTATTTTGGGGCRGGCTGACTCCTAGAGCAGGGGAAGGAGTTACTGGGCAGTGTGGGGTTAGGGTGTGCCACGTTCCAGCACATGCAGCTGCGAGGCGAGGCTGAGGATCCCAGATGGATGACCAGGTACTGACTGGYCATGGGCTCCACCAGAGGCCAGAGATCCTGTTTGGATCACCAGGCAGCAGCTGGCAGCAGGCTCTGCTGGAGGCTGGAGATCCAGCACTGGCACTGCAGCCACGCACACAGGACAGTGCCCGGGTGCTGCAGGGTGAGCAGCGGGCACAGCTGAACCCAGCAGGTCACTGAGCTGCAGGCAGCAACAGCACGGGCAGGGAGAGCAGGAAGAAAGCCCAGGAAGGGAGCACAAGCAGGGCAACACAGGCAGGGAGTGCAGGCAACAGTGCCAGCAGCAGCAGGGAAGAACCAGGGAAAGCCTTGGGTCCACCCTGTGACCCAGGACCTTGCTGCTTCCCAAAGCTCTGATGCTGTGACAATCCCGGTTTGTGCTGAGTTGGCAGGGTCCTGCTCAGCAGCAGCCAGGTGGGGATCCTGTGCCTAGAGAAGGCAGGGCAAGATCAGCCCAGAGCAGTCTGTTGGATTAGAACTGGGTGGTAAATTAAGGGCAATGGAAGAACGACTCCCCAGTAGCTCCAAAGTGGGGCATCAGCAATGAGCCAAGCTCTAACGAGCCTCRAGAAGGCTGGAGCCCTCTGTGCCATTTCATCTCTGCTGCTCTGCGTCGGATTTCCCAGGAGCCCTGCAGCCTCGGCCACATTAATTATGCAAATGAAAAGGTGATGCCAACTCACCATCCCTCGGTAGGGTCCCTGCGAGTGAAGTTGGGCCCGAGCACCGGCCGCTGCCCTGGCTGGGGCAGGGAGGGTCCGGGAGCACATCAGGCAGGATGGATGTTTGCAATAATTATCCAGTCATCCCCTTCAAGTGTACTGCAGCCATAGCAACAGACAGATGTTCTGTCCCAGCCAGAGTCCGCAGCGAGCTGGGGAGGGAAGCACAAAAATTAACCCATTCAGCCCTAGGATGGCACAGAATCCACTTTATTCTGGGACCAGCCCACACTTGGACATCCCTGAGGAAATCAGGCAAAACCCCAATCACACACTCCCCAAATTAAAGCAGGAGAAATTGCTCCAGTGCTCCCTTGGCCACTGTCTGACACAGAAAGTTGAATGAGAATCAGCAGCATCCCATTGGGATGGTGTCTGGCTCTGTAAGGGCTCTGCTGTCTCCTGTCCCACATGGAAGTARCCTGGCTGAAGCCCAGTATCTCCTSAGGGTGATGCTGCAGGTGAGGCTTTTCAGCTCTGCTGGTAACCAGCCTTTGGAGRGGGATGGGTGGGATGGATGGCACCAGGAACTTGCTCAGGGGCAGCCACAAGCAGCTGTGCCATCAACACCCACACAGTGCCTTCAGCACAGACCCCACAGGCACCCAACTGGGCAGGAGRGGATGGATGAGCCACACGGACCAGTGTCCACTTCTGAGTTGACACCTGGGTCAAAGCCTTCAAAGTATTCGGAGGTGGGATGCAGCCAGACCAAGGAATGGTCTGCATTTCATTGTCCTGCTGCTGTACAAGTTCTCAGGATTAAGCCTGAGTCCATTAYATCTCACCCAGAAACATTGCCACAGGGGCCCTTTTGCCCCATAACACACCAAAAATGTAAACCCAACTTTTCCTGGGGCCTGCGGAGCAGGTAGCACTCCCCCTGCCAGGGATTCCTTCCAACACTGACATTTAAATATTGTAAGGTAAAGGCCAGACCCCCATGGACCTCACAGTTCCCTTCTGGAAGGATCACAGCTGCCCACCCCATCTCTCTCYTCCTGTGCCAGCTGTGCCCAGGGGTCCTGCAGAAGCAGCAGGGATTTCCAGAAAGCAGAGCAATCCCCTGACCTCAGAGC